GCGGCCACGACGCTCCCCAAGAAGGCACCTCTGCCTCCACGGCCACCACGCGCGGCAGCCGTTACAATAACGGCACCGGCCGGCGGGACGGTGACGTACGCAGAGGCGATGGTCACTGCCAGGTCCAAAGTGGACCTGGCAGAACTTGGCATCGCCTCGTTGCGGCCGAAACGGGGGGTGACCGGGGCCCTCATTTTGGAGGTCCCCGATCACCGTCGGGACCATAAGGTGGCAGGCTGTACGGCCACACCCAATTGCCCGCTTTGTGCGGGCGCGGGCAAGCCGTCTGGCCACCGCCGCGGCAGCCGAGCGTGCCCCGCCAGTGCGGGTCGATCGAGGGGAGGCGGCACATATCAGGAGAAGCAGAAGTGGAAGAGGAATGCCGCGGCGATTAGACAGCAGTCGGCGTCTACTGACGCCGCCGTCGCGCCCGCGGAGGCGGATGGGGCCACTAAAGCCCCAGACGTCACCGCTCTCGCGGCTGCCACGGCGATGGACACGGCTGAATAATGGGGCCCACGGGCCCGATAATTCAAGTCAACCTGAACTACTCGACCAGGGCGCAGGATCGTCTGCTTCAATGCCTGGCCGAGCAGGGTACCGGGTTGGGCGTCGTGGCGGAGCCGTACAGGGTCCCCAAACATCCACACTGGATGGGGGACTCGATCGGCTCCGCCGCGATAATATGGGCAGGGAGGCCGGGGTCCCCGCCGTGCTCTCTCATCGAGCACGATGACGGATACCTGGCCGTCGATTGGGGAGGCGCCGCGATTGTGGCGATATACGCACCTCCAAGGTGGTCTCTCGACGAGTTAGGGAGATGCGTCTCCCGCTGCCATCCCCGTCCGGTGCTGGTCCTGAGGGACTACAATGCCAATGCCATGGCTTGGGGTTCCCCCGGGACTGACTCGAGGGACTGGGAGGTACTGGATTGGACGACAGGACTCGAGCTCCGTCTCCTAAACACGGGCTCGGTCCAAACGTGTGTGCGGCATAACGGGGGGTCTTCGTTGACCTTTCATGGGCAACGCCCCCGGCCGCGCGCCGTATGACGGGGTGGAGGGTGGCGGAAGAGGTCGGGACAATATCTGACCACAGATACATCATTCTCGGCCTCTCCGCTGCCCCACCATCGACACTCCGACATCGCCCCGCCGATGAGGGTTCGCTTCAGCCGCGATGGGCGCTGAAACGCCTCAGCCAGGACGCTCTGATGGCGGCAGCCCACGTCGTGGCCTGGCCACCGACACCGGCCGAGCAAGTCGACGGGACAGGGGAGGCCCAATGACGTCGATTTGCGACGTCGCCATGCCCGCACCAGGGTCTTCCTAAGGAAGGCGGTGTACTTGTGGTCGCGCGCGATAGCGTAGTTACGCACCGAGTGCGTACGCGCGCTACGCCAGTACGCTCGCGCCCGTCGACGACGACGAGCAGACGACGTGCTAGCTGCCCAATTGTACGGGCGATACAGGGAGAAGGTGGTCGCCCTGCAGCTGGCCATCAGGCGGGCAAAGGACCAGGCCTGGCGCGATATCCTTGGTTCTCTGAACAGAGATCCATAGGGGCGCCCATACAAGGTGGCAATGGGACGATTACGTCCCTGGGAGCCCCGAAGGCGGAGAGCCTAGATCCGGGGCTACTCGGGCGGGTCGTGGATGCGTTATTCCCCGTTAGCGGGCAGGCGTCCCGGCCCGTCCCTGAGCACGACGACGATGAGTGGTCCCCGGATCTTGAAGTCGCGCCGGAGGAAATGGCCGGGGTCGTCAAATAGCTCCGGGGCAAGAATACTGCCCCTGGGCCGGACGGTATACCCGGCCGGTTCTGGTCGCTCGTCATGAACGTCCTGGGGGAAAGGCTGAGGAGCCTTTATTCGGAGCTCCTGAGGTTGGAAAACGAGGATCCATGATCTGGGGCTGAAAATAGCCACGGAGAAGGCCGGAGCTGCTTGGTTTCACAGACAGCCTCATTCTCGGCCATTAGCCGGATCGTGGATCCGCGGTGGGGAAACCTGCGTCGCGGTGAAGTCTGAGATGAAGTATCTTGGTCTGATCCTCGACAGCCGCTGGAGCTTCGATGCGCATCTCGACCGTCTCGTCCCCCGAGTTGAAAAGGCGGCGGCCTCTTTGGGCCGTCTGCTGCCCAACCTCGGGGGACCGGGAGATCTGGTGCGCCGCCAATACCTAGGCGTGGTGTGGTCTATGGCCTTACATGGCGCCCCGATATGGGCGCCGTACGTGATGGTCAGCCGGCGCAGCACGCGGTTGTTGCGCCGGCTGCAGAGGCTGATGGCCATCCACCTCATACGGGGATACCGCACCGCGTCTACCGTAGCGGCGCATGCTCTGGCGGGAGAACTTCCCTTCGATCTTCAGTCGGCGGTGCGCGCATATGTTTATAGGCGCACAAGCATCGCCAGCCGTGCTCGGGGGCCTCTCCGGAGCGAGAGACGGTCGAGGGCTTCGAGCTCCGGGCCCGGCGACTAGCGCTCATCAGTTCGCATGCCGAGCTTTACTCCCACGCCGGCGAGCGCGTCCCGGGGCTCTTCTGTCGCAGTTCACCTCGTGGCGGGAGGGACGGTTTGGTAGGCTCTCCTACCGAGCGACGCAGGTGTTCACCGGGCATGGCTGCTTCGGTGTCTACCTGTGTCGCATCGGGCGGAAAGCGACGACGGTGTGCCACCATTCTGGCGCAGAGGAAGACTCGGTGCAGCACACGCTGGAGGAATGTCCCGCCTTTTCAGAACTGCGCCGAGTCCTAAAACGGGAAGTCGGCCACGACCTCGCACTCTCCAGCCTATTTGGTGCCATGCTGGAGAGCTCAAGGAAGTTGGCGGCAGCAATTTCTTTCTGCGAACAGGTAATGTCGTGGAAGGAGGCTACCGAGCGGGATCGGGAACGAACCAATCCCGCTCGACGGGCCCGGGGCCGGCGTGTGCGTCCACGCCGAGAACCCCCGGGCAGCTGAGAGTAGGCGGGCGGCGGGTGTATCAGACCTTGCTGGTTTCATTGCCCGCCGCCCGCCAACAGTGGAGGTCCTCCCCTGTTGGGAGTGGGGGTTGACGAGTCGCCTCAAGGAGGCGAGGGTTAAGTATAACCCTCCAATATACTCGTCACCCCCCCCCCGGCGGTCGCTGTGATGAGGGCGGGGACCCTGTTCACCTCTCGCGCGGTCGCCGGGTCGGGGCGGTGCGGGGTACGACCCGTCGCGCCGCCGAATAATATGAATTGAAGTGGGGAGGATTTAACTTCCCCCGGGACGCGGTCGGCCATCGTTACCATCTCGATGGCCGGCCAGGCTAGGGGGAGCCGCGGTTGTGTTCTGCAAGAGTTCCCGTGGCACCCCCGTTGAATCGCCAGCGTTTGGATCAGCGTCCTTATGTCGCCGTGGAGGTTTTAGTGGGTCAAACCCCACACTACCCTCGTCTCGCTCCCCCGGGCGGGGCGGGGTTGTCTGGCAAACAGATTTCCTCCACGTTAAATTAAAAAAAACCTCGCCTCAAAGGTTAGTAAATCTAAGCAAATATTACGACGGACAACGATTGGAGACCACGTTGAGTTTTCCGGCTCAACGG